TGAAGATCTTGGGTTAGAATTGGTCTTCAGCAACATGTGCTTGTCGTAAGAGGCGACTGAACTATTATAACAGAGATCGGGTGGTCGGTTGTCGCTGTGGTAAAGTGCGCCAAATTTAATACTTTTGATTGACACATGACATCGTATCCCAATTGCGTAGATCGATGCTGATGATGTCAATCACTGGATATGTCTGGTTTCAAACTTGATTATATACAGACCACCGTCATATAGCTGGGAAATTGCTGAGTGCGGCGTGAAACTAAACTCACTCACTCGTGGGTGGTGAACAACACACTTCGCAGCTATTAGCTATATTGCGACAGTCAGTTAATAATTGATATTAATGATTGATATTGTGAGAGCAACATCCCCCGGCCTTCAGGATACGACGCCACTGAATCACCCAGGTCACCGAACCTGACCACCCTAGCAATTTGGTAGCATCTTAAGAACAGTGCCATTCCAATCTTAACCCAGAATGCCCACAGAGGTCGCCACTACTATAGCTACTCTTTGACAGGTATAGTACAAAAATGGTCAACACGTGTGTAAATGCCTGACGTGGATCCGTAGTACATTTCACAGTTTAACTCAAGCTTAGTTTCCTTCTGAATCCGAACTATGTAGAATTGTCAGTATTCGTCCCATTTGTACAACATAATTGTCATTGTCCATGAGGGAAAATGTCGCACCAACTATGTTCTAAATAGATCCTCGACTCTTTCAACATTGACCGACTTCTAGCGCCAGACCATGCTTCTGAACAACACACTGGCCGGTCCAGATTGAAATAGTCGGACACTGTCCCAAGGCTGGGCTTTGATTACAGAGGGCTCGTAGACGAGTGTTCAGGTTTGAACAGAACAGTCAGCTAAGACAGCAAATATTTTCCTGGTTGTGAAAGTGGTGAAAAAGGCAGATGTTCAATCTGACGGCCGGCTTTTAAATAGAAGGAAAAAAGGCATACAGAACAGAATACATAATTTACCATCACATTATTGGAGACTGTCAACATAATAGACCAGCGTTCAGCAGTTTACCTAGGAGTGTTTGCATTATTAAAATATTTATTTGAAGATCACCTGACTAAATATCACGTGAACTTGTCACTGTCGGCATAACGGCGAACGTCTTCCCCTCTGAAACTGTTTATTTTATTGCTGTAAGTGAATGTAAAATATTTCGTTTCGTTTTTAGTATCGTTTTCCGTTTGTAGTACCTGTGTGAATATGATTTAACCGGATGTCGATAAATTATGCGCAGTTTATTCCGCCATTTGCACCAGTATTACACGTGTTTGTTGTCTCTGATGACCACAAGTATTAACAGAAACTATCGGACCAAAGAAGTATGAACTTCATGTACTTGTTCCTACAGAAAAAAAGCTGTAATGTCCATTATTAAGTTATTTTTTTGTTTGAAATGTCATGACATTTCGTCTTTCTGTGGCAAGTTATAACACGCATATGTCGGCGATATCGTACACATTGACCTTGATGTGACCTTTGCATTTTCAACATACTGAAAGCTGAAATTCCTTATTGCCATTACATCTCTAAAAGATTCATGGAATTTGGTCCATATGTTATAATTGGGGCTCGGCATATATGTTCCGGTTATTTGGCATCTTTGGGAATTTTGACCTTGTTTGAAACCATATTCTTATATTCTGTCAAAATACATATTTGTCTCTGTAAACGTTTCAAATAAAGGTATATGCACTAATGGGTCTTTGTCATCACTCACTCACTAACTTGCAATAGCTTGCCAGCCACTCCTCAAAACTCACGACCCACGACCGGGTTCGATTCCCCACATGGGTACAATGTGTGAAGCCCATTTCTGGTGTCCCCGCCGTGATATTGCTGGAATATTGCTAAAAGCGGCGTAAAACCACACTCACTCACTCACGACCCACGAATCAGTTGCCCCTGGTGTAGATACTAGCAACCACTTGACCTGTGTAACACTAGAAACGTTTTATGAAGGCATAATGATGTGTTAATGTCCCCAGTCCACACAGCACCGACTCGGTAGTAACTCTGTCAAGGGCGTTTCGCCGGTCGTCCAGGTGCCTCTCGCAAACTTTATCTACATTCACCGTGTGAAGCTCCACATTTACAACCTTCTCAGCGTCACGCAGTCTTGTTTCAACACCAAAGAGATCGTAAACCTACGCTGGTCGTAACTGCCATTGTTTAACATAGACGTAACGCAGTCGAAGTGCTGGGTGATTGTGAAACAGAAATATTGAGACTTAACTCAAAGTATAATTTAATTCGAGTTTATTATCTCTGAAGATTACGAACTGGCACTACGGAATGATAGCATCGCTATGGTGTGATACCGCCTGAGTGAGTGAGCCGTACTGCTGGTTGCTTTTGGAACAAACATATTGACACTAACACAAAGTATAATTTAAATCGACCCCATTCAATTATCGCTGATGATTACGAACTGGGACTACGGAATGATATCGTCACTGTGAAGTAATATCACCTCATTACACCACATCGGTAAAAAGGTATGATATCGACAATCCGATTGTCAATGGTCCCAATAAACAATGCATTTCCGTATTAATATTTCGCCACTCACAAGTTGTCTCACAGGCCATACGGTGAACGCTAAGCCAAAAATTAAGACATGCTATTCACATTAAAGATTTATTTGTTTAATGCACAAGGGAAATCGGACGAAAAGCGTATTCCTTAAAATGTTCCTAAGCAGAATAATGCGCGTGACTTGTTAAAGTCTAGATCAATGCTCAATGCAACACACGAACCTATTTGTGACCAAAGGTTATGCTGTGTCTTTTTTCCAGCAATCGTCGTACAATGCATGTTATACAAGAACAGTACATATTACAAATATGTATTTCTTTTCGTTCCCTGATGATTCATTGCAACAGGTGTCGACTTGTTTTAATGGATAGCTACGTGCGTCTATGCTGCTTATCTTATTGTCTTCCTGGTGCATTTCGAGAACACATATGCTACGTGACCTTGGTCTTTTAATTAGACATTGCTCTGAATGAATACTTCTTCGTCGTGAATCCGGGTTAGTATTGGTCCCCAGCAACCAACCACGACCCTTATGTATAAGTCTCCAGCAACCAATGTTTGCTGTGAGGTATTGGTACCCAGCAACCAATGCTTGCTGTTAGGTCCTGTCCCCAGCAACCAGTGCTTGCTGTTAGGTCCTGTCCCCAGCAACCAGTGCTTGCTGTTAGGTGTTGGTTATACTGTTCGTTATGTATTGGTCTCCAGCAACCAATGCTAGACGTTAAGTATGGGCTGCGTTCCAAGGTCCGAAGTACCCTTTCAACAAACCTCAGGATCTCGCGTACCAAGATCTTGTTATGACACCCCACCACACACCCACACACACACACACACACACCACCACACACACACACACACACACACACCCCAGTCTAGATTGATACGTAAGTTTAGAATGTATCAAGTCCAGCTGGAATGAAGCATTGTTTTCGGCTTTGAATTTTTCGTTTTTTTGTGACCCCGTGAAGATCCGGGTTACAATATTGATCTTTAGTAACCCATGCTTGTCGTAAAAGGCGACTAACGGGATTGGGTGGTCAGGCTCGCTGACTTGGTTGACACATGTCACCGGTTCCCAATTGCGCAGATCGATGGCCATGTTGTTGATCACTGGATTGTCTGGTCCAGACTCGATTATTTACAGACCGCCGCCATATAGCTGGAATATTGCTGAGTGCGGCGTAAAACTAAACTCACTCACTCACTCGTTTTATTGTGTCTTTATATATTTCTAAATTAGATATGTTTCTTTCCTTCTTGGCCTAAATATCAATCTGCTCAGAGGTCTGCTGTCCGTGATGTGGTAGTATCGCTGAAGCACAGACGTGTCCTCTCCTTGGGATGTTGATCTCAGACATCAATCTTCTCAGATCCAGGGTTCTCTTCCTCGAGTCTTTCCTGACGTCCTTCCGGTCACGTGGTAGCACGTGGCGTGGCTTAAGTAGGCTACTTGTGTATGATTCATAGTTACTGTCGGGTCTGTTTTAGCACGTTGTACGGCGCTTGATACTTGACAATTTTAGACAGCTATGATTTTTCACTTTGGTGGCAGTGGAGGTTTGTGGTGGTCCCGTTTGATGTGAGGTCAAAAAAACCCATCAACTTTTAGGCACGGAAAGGGCGAAGTCAAAGTGTTTTCAACTAATTATTTACTTCATCCAATGGCGCTGACTTCGTACACACGAATATAAAGGGTAGATGAATGTATAGACACACGGATAGATGATAGAATCAGGAACCGACAGCGCTCACGTGTGATTTTACAGATACTTCAGTGCGACTGATCTCTTGATGCGTGTAGTGGTATCCAAGTTGTGCAGATAATGGTCATCATGTCAATCACTGGATTATCAGGTTTACACTCGATTATTTACAGATAGCAATCATAGTAATAATGCTGATAAACATACTGGAAAAAACATGGGGTATTCCACATAAATACATTCTCGATGTCGGATTTCAAATGACAGCCTAATCTTTTGGAAGCCGAATCTTAACTGCCGTGCAGGTATACACTTGTAAATTAGAATTCACCCAAAATTAAACTTGACCAGGCTAAAAACAGTCGCCAAAACATAATTTTGAAAGGCTTATGAAGGACATCACAATGGCAGAAGCATTTCTTGTGTAAGTTTCATATACATATAGGTGTATACCTTCTATTGCCCGGCACGGGCAGGTAGCCCAGTGCGGGTAGCCCAGTGGTTAAAGCCCAGTGGTTAAAGTGTTCGCTGGTCACGCCGAAGATCCGGGTTCGATTCCACACATAGGTACAATGTGTGAAGCCCATTTCTGTGTCCCCTTCCGTGATATTGCTGGAATATTTGCTAAAAGCGGCGTAAAACTAAACTCACTCACTCTATTGTCCGTCTGTTTATCTCTGCTGGCAAGAGTAATGGCTTCCCATATATTATGATAATATTCTCTTTTCAGATCGAGATGGCACGACGTCCAAGAGGCTATGGGCTCTCAGCTGAAATTTCGAAAAAGGTGGGCAATGCTTGTGTTTGTGTTGAACCTACCGTTATTGAAGAATTGACCTTCATTTTGTACGTGTTCGGACATCGCCACAAGCAGGCCGTCAAACTCGTTGGCTTTTTGTATGCTACAACCCTGATTTCAACGTTGAAGGATTTAGATGATTTTGAAGGTTTTAGTATTTATTACTGATACGAACTCCAACCATTTGCCAGGGAATGTGTAAAAAGTCCTTTCAAGAATAGGTGACCCGTGAAGATCCGGGTTAAATTTGATCTTCAGTAACCCATGTTTGTCGTAAAAGGTAACGGATCGGGTGGCCAGACTCGCAGACTTGGTTGACACAGTCATCGGTTCCCAATTGCGTAGATCGATGCTCGTGCTGTTGATCACTGGATTGTCTGGTCCAGAGTCGAATATTTACAGACCGCCGCCATAAAACTGGAATATTGCTGAGTGCGGCGTAAAACTAAACTCACTCACTCAAGAATTGGTTTCACAAAGGACGTATGAACGTCGAAATGTTGTTTTGTTTCGAGCAAAGCAGTATTTTCTGTAAACCTGACAGTAAAAGAAATACCAGATTTCATGCTGTTCGTTTGTATGTCCCTGTAAATACCAGTGTTTGTTCATCTTTCTCCGTTTGTTTACCCATTATCTATCCCTGTGTCTATTTTGTATGTGTGTTATGCATTTCGCCATATATTGATACATCTAGCTATTCTACTGTATTCGTGACACTGTGACCGGGGCGGTGGTGAAGCCAAGTGGTTAAAGCGTTCGCTCGTCACGCCGATGACCCGGGTGCAATCCCCACTTGGGTACAATATGTGAAGCCCATTTCTGGTGTTCCCCGTCGTGATATTTATGACATATTAGTAAAAGCGGCGTAAAATGTAACTCAATTATTCAATCCAGTTTTTTCCCGGTTGTGTAACCTTTGCTCTTTTGTGTTTGCAGATCAACGATAAGTATGATCTCGGTATTGAACGGGAGGCGCGAGAGTGGATGGAAGCGTTGTTGGGCCGATCGCTGTCTGAGGTAAAGATTTACCTCAATGTAATGCTAGTATTCTATTATTGTGTAATATCACTTCAGTGTATTTTATCACTCCTTCGGACCCGTGAAGATTAATATTGGTCTTCAGCGAACCATGTTTGCCCAAACAGGCGACTTACGGGATCGGGTGGTCAGGCCCGCTGACTTAGAAGAACACATGCCGATGTTGATTATTGGATTGTCTGGTCCAGACTCGATTATTTACAGACAGCCATCATGTAGGTGGAATCCTTGGGTATCCATTACAATTCGTTAATTTCAGTTTAGTGGTCCCAAATGGCCTTGTGTTAAGAGGCCTATAGCGCCCTGAGGATTTGTACAGGTGCTCATGTACTCATTTACTAGTTAGACTTACCCAGCCCGACTGGCTAGTGAATTTTAATGGGGTCATTTTGTAAATATATCACTCTCAACGATTGTTAACTTATAATACACATTTAAATCATGCAAGATTATGGTCTGATAAAAATGTTAGCATATTAGCAACTTAATGATGAAACCCGTGTCAACATTCAAATTTCGGGCTAGTGAAATATTTTGTGGGCTAGTAACTTTCAGGAATAGCTTGACCGAATGGCAGCAAAATTTGGAAATTATTTCGCACACTGGCAGGGATGCTTTCAAATTTAAACTAATCACGTCGGCGTTAAACTTATATAATTCCAGTAGAGCAGACTTACTGGTTTTATAGCTAGGTTGCTTATATTAATCTCTTGAACACGTCTATTTTATGTTACAGAATGGGGGCGATCTCGGCGCTGATGGGATGCACGCGGTTCTTAAAGACGGAGTCCTACTGTGCCAGTAAGTGAATACTCCATTCAACTTCAATCATTCTGATAGCTGAAGATGACATTTTATCTCTCGGGTAACAGTTAGGATCCACAAATATTCCATTGTATTCCCAAGTATTATTTAGTATTCTCCATATAAATGTCGTTTTCCCCACTATTCCCCAGTGTTATCTACAATGCTCTAATATCCTTATCCATCAAGTAGGTTTCTTTCGTATTCTGTCCCATTCTATTATTCTATGCTATTCTCTCAATATTCAATATTCTATGTTATTTTCTGCCATCCTCAAATGTTTTATACTATTCTTCATAATTCCGTTGTATTCTCTACGATGCTTGAATATTCTCTACTATTTTCTCCAGTATTCTTTGCCTTCCAACAGTATTCTCAACTATCTTAAATGTATTATTTTGTATCCTATACTTATCTCAGATATCACATTTGATCATTTATGGTCCAGTTAGTCTTCTAGACTGGTCCCGATTCACGATAAATGTTTATCCATACGGATATTTTATGAAAGTATTTACACATTCTCATGGGCTTTGACCATCTCTCATGTATGTGTTCTGTTGTTTCAGAGTCATGAACTGCATACAACCTGGAAGTGTAAAGAAAATAAACGAGACGAAGATGGCGTTCAAACAGATGGAAAATATTTCCCATTTCCTCGCGTCTGCAGAAAGATATGGCTGCTCAAAGACCGACATGTTTCAAACAGTAGACCTTTTTGAAAAAACCAACATGGTGCAAGTCGTGAACGCTATCCACGCACTAGGTCGAATGGTGAGTACGCTGCCATACATGCTTCTGTTCGAGAGGTACACAAACTACTTGATCCGGACTACCGCGGACTGACCCGTGAAGATCCGGGTTACAATTGGTTTTCAGCAACTGACGCTTGTCGTAACAGGCGACTAACAGTCTTGTGTTGTTATCTCCCCTGGATCTAATGATAAGCATTCATCTGTCCTTCCCCGATCAAAAGTCGGAGCTTCTAAACTGTTGAATATTTCTTGATAGAAAGCTGCACACATACCTAGTGCTGAAATGGTGCCTCCAGATGATTTGGGATTTTTATCTTTTATTAATATTTGTAATGTTTTCATGACAACAAGTTACTGGTAGTACTAGTTTCTGAACAGAACTACAAAATCTTTGATACCCTTTTTATACATGTCAGCTGTTTTACTGTTTGGGATACTGAACAGCGGTAGGTATCCGTGGAAATGAACCAAAATTGAGACAAAAGAAACCAAATTCCATTTCCACATTGCACCAGTCGGAGAGGATTTGTCATCCCCTGGTGGTTCTTGTATAAAGTTATAAGATATAAAACAACATGATGCTTGACAATCTTTTGAAAGTGACCGCATGTGACGCGAGGAGCACGTGGTGCAGGACACTCACACACTTTCCCAAAAATCTTTTGTCATGACTGTTTGAGAGTGATTCACAAACAAATGCTTATGGTATGGTCGGAGTCGCACATAGGACACATAGGATATATCATATGATTGTGGACGTTTTGGCGCCTGTGCAGGTCCCGGTCATGGCATGTGGACTGACTGACCACATTCATGTCGTTGAGTAAGGTCTGACGTCATATTGGCATGGTACTCAGTAATATTTCCATGTTTAAATGGCACAAAACTCGTTCTTCACTACAGATATGTTATGTTTCAGGCTCAAAAGAATGGGTTTGAAGGACCAGGGCTGGGCCCAAAAGAATCTCATCAAAACAAACGCGATTTCTCTGAAGAAACGCTCCGAGCGGGTAATTCTGTAATTGGTCTTCAGGCAGGCTCCAACAAGGGTGCTTCGCAAAGCGGCATGAACTTGGGGAAGAGTCGATCTATTCTGGACTAAAGGTTCAATAGAAGATTTGACATCTGATAACAGCAGTCATCCGAATCGGGAACCAGGAGAGGGAAGCTGTGGGGCAGCTTGTGCTTCCTTTAAAGTTGCTGATGGTGTGTATCTTGAAGGGAAACTAGCCTCAATGGTTAATGGCTGTTATGAGTGACTTTGAGTCCTACTGTGGTAGAACTTGAGAGAACTGATGAGGACATTATTGTAATGGTATATCAAGTTAGATTTAACTGCAAATTGACCCGAGCCTAGTTCCTCTTCAACCACCTCCTACTGAACCATCGTTGACAGCAACAATTTCAAAATCTGAAACGTGAGAGCTCATTGCTTGTTGATAACATGATAATTGATACAACGCAAAATTCTGGCTTAAGAGATGTTGCCGTGAACAGACTTCTACATGAGAAATGGATTTTAACATAGGATACTCGGTATAACAGGCCTTTCAGCATCATCAACCAAAAGGGTAAGATGCTGAAACGGCTTTGTGTTGGCATCAGTATCTTGGCATGACTCCCATTGCTGGCCGAGGTTCAGAAGGATCTGATGTGGGTTCTGGCGAGTTTAGTCGGATGATGAGGATGACGTACAGTCTTGCATGGATGCTTATGTATATATATTCCCTTCATAAATATAACATCTCTATTTGTGAACTGTAGCTCTCAGCGAATGAATATTCGAGTAATAACAACAGAAGTCTTACCAACCAATTTCATTTCAAACTAGTTAATTAAATGTGATGTCCTTTAAACTCAGCTTCTGTTCGTTGCATCTTAAAGCTTCTGTCATTAAAGTGCTTTGAATACATAATGTTAATGTCCAATGTTCAATTTGCATGCAGTCGTATTAAGAGCTTATATCATTTATTCAGTCTTTGAGTGTAAACTCCGTATTAGATCCTATTTATTTTGCCTATCCTTTGAAGAATCATGTAACGTTCTGAGTCTTTCGTGAGGTTTCATGAAGATAGTCTAGGTATTGTTGGTGTATCTATATGTACACTGCCTTCCCAGTATAGTGTTTAGTTTCAGTATTAGAAAGGGTATTTGAATTCAAGCACTGTGTTACTTTACGTTATCAGGATTGTATAGATTCTAATTGTGTATTACACATCGACAAATGTTCCACGTACATGCCTTCACTCATTTTAATCCATGTCTCATGCAACGTTTACTGCTGAGCTAGCAATATTGTTTATGCAATCCTTTGCCTTTGATATAGACACATATATATTTATGGTCACACATCTTCCCTAACTGAAATATTAGCTTTAATTCATGTTCACGATGCTGATGAAGTATGCATGTATATATAGGTAAACATCAGAGGATGGAATTCTGCAATGTGGACCTGAAATCCTTTTGATGTGGAGGCCAGTTTTCATATGACTTGGTCAATTTACGAATGAATCTTTCCAAAATTGCCCAACATTTTCAGAACCTTCATTTCCCCCTTTGATTCTTTTGTCACATTTGATTAATATATTATACACTCGATGTGAGAGAGGTAACCGTTCGACATGTATTTGGGAATACTATTTTCACCTAACCGTTAAATAATTGCGAACAAGATCTGTTTTCTCTGTTGCCGAAGTAATAAAATGATCTGGGCCTGGTGAAGCACATTGAACATGATCTGTGTTTATCGTTTGAACAATATAAAGATAACTTCTTGCCATTATGCAGCTGTTCTGAAGCAACATTGTTAATACCACCCCGGAAACATGTAATGATAAGTATGGCAGGTAAACGAACACATTACCTTCTGTACTGCACTTCATTCGGCACATCGGACATGAAACTTCACCAAACAATATTCTCCCACAGCCAAATGTGACCAGACCCCGATTTCTCGAAACAAACTTAAGTCTGAGTTTTGACTTAAGTTAAAGTTTTTACTCAAATTTGAGAAAACTGCAGGGAAATACATTTTCCAGAATGAACTGAAATCGATATTAATCTCGAACATAGTAGACAATTTGAGTTTGGTGGATAGATTACTTAAGTTGTTTGAGCTTTGTTATTTTACAAATGCCGTTGAGATTAAAAATTCAGCCGTTTTAAATTGTCAAACTCAGTTTGAAATTTGATTAAAAACTTAAGTTTGTTTCTAGGAAGTTTAGATCAGCTGTACTTAGATTTTAGAAATAAAGTGACAAGAATTAGATAGAACCAATGAGTCATTTGTTCAGAAGCCGGGTGATGAATGTTGTGTGTGCATCGTCGAACCCAAGTCAATATAGCTGAAACTGTCAGCATTTCATCTGTGCTTATGGGACCTGAAAGCATGTGTTCATATTAAACTGTGTGCGGATGTTGATACATGCATTGTCTTGAACGACATGATATTATTCATTATTATTTTATATCTTTTACATGAATATACCATGTAAGCAACAAAATGAATGCATATGATATCTTCATACATAAACGTCATATGTAAGAAATTGCATTTCATTGATTAAACAGATATTTAAACTGTCACTTGTGATATGTATTATTTGTGAACAAGCTTATGGGAAAACGAACAGGGTAACCAATCAAATTGTTTGATGAGGATGTTAGCACTTCTGATAAATAAAACAGTCTTGCGTATTGTGGAAGCACAGGCATGTTATTCCACTGCATGTATATGCTGTTTCGTCCTGACTAACTGTTATCCCCCGCCGCGCGTTTAACGCGAAGCGGGGATATAGTATTAGGCTCCGTCCGTCCGTCCGTCCGTACGTACGTACCTACGAATTGGAATATCTTAAGAACCATTGACTGGATTCTTTTCATACTTGGTACCTAGGTTCATCACAGTATAAGAAAGGTCACAGTCAGATTTGGTAACCTTGACCTTCATTTCAAGGTCACCAGGGGACTTTAACGTTTTACCCTCGTCAGCGAGATATCCCAAGAACCGTTCCCTGGATGTTCTTCATATTTGACACCAAACTTCATATAGGGAAGAAGGCTCAAGGCCCAGTCGATTTTGGTGACCTTCCAATACTTTTCAAGGTCACAACGACACTTTGAAGATTTCGGCATGTTAAGCTGCATGTTAAGCTTGTCAGCGAGATACCTCAAGAACTAACCACTGGATTTTCTTCATATTTGACACCAAGCTTCATATATGGAAGGTGCATGGCCCAGTCGAGTTCGGTGACCTTCACGTAATTTTCAAGGTCACAGCGACACTTTGAAGATTTCAGTATGTTGAGATTGTCAGCAAGATATCTCAAAAACGGTTCACTGGATTTTCTTCATAGATTTTCAAGACTTCTCTGGAATGTTTTTTGATAAGCAATTTCTCTATTACTATTTTTTGGCATATTTCATACACCATGACATTCATGTCAAGGTCAAAGTGAGTCTTGAAAATATTGGTGTGTTTGAACAGCTACAGAGCAGAGCAAGATATCAAGAGAGGTTGACTGGTCATGTTTTTGTTATCCCCCGCAACGCATTTTGCGGGGGGTATTAAAATGGACTCCGTCCGTGCGTCCGTCTGTGCACTTTTGTCTTTTCCGGAGCAGAACTGTAAAACCGTTCACTATTTCTTCACAAAACTTGGCACATAGATAGATCTGGTAGTGTACTGGTGCCTTTTGGTAGTTTTGGAATTCTGAATAAAATATTTTGGCGTTTCCATGTCAAGTTTCACTTTGACTGAAATTGGTGATAGTGCTATTTTATGGAGCAGAACTTTAAAAACCTTTTCAATACTCTCCTTCCACTTTTCTATATACACACCTAAATATTTGACATAATCATAACTAGTAGACATAATCATGAAGAGTATTTTGCCATTGCAGGGGATTTTGATGACTTTGTCTTCTTGTTGACATTTAACTTCATCTTAAACTACGACCTTCACTTTCATTACTCTTAGAGTTTGATTTGATAATATGCGGCGGGGGATTATGTCGCCTTAGTGACAACTGCTTGTTATATCCCACAAGTCGTTCTAGACTAACGCGATACCCGTGAAGGTCCGGGTCAGGCTCGCTGTTATGGTTGACAGATGTCATCGTATCCCAATTATGCAGAACGATGCTCATGATGTTGATCACTGGATTGTCTGGTCCAGGCTCGATTATTTTCAGGCCGCTGCCATACAGATGGAATATTGCTGAGTGCGGCGTAAAACTAAACTCACCCTACTCTTAGTCCCTGAATATGTATAATTTTGATAATAACAAATAATACCATTTAAATTGAAAAGGAGCCCCAGGAAGATTGGTGATTCAGAACAAGAACCTGGGGAAATCTAGACTTGCTTCATTAGGGCTTTAGCATTGGAAGGAGGGCTAGTCAGTAGGGAAAATAATGTGGCTCAGGGACGTTCAGGGTCGTTCCTGCGTTGTCCCAAGGTGGGTCAACGTCCATTGTGGGATTGAACCTTGCCATATTCAGGTCAATCTTGTACAGCATTATAAAGATACGTTGCGTCAGAAAAGTATTATACATTATATGATTGTTTTACAATACAGCATGACAACCCTTGCCTACATGGCCCAGATACAGCAATATATTAAAGTGAAACAACACTGCAATAATTTCGACTGTTTTGACTTATGTTCGGCGAATATTCACACTGCGCTGCTCGACGAATAAGAAACCAATATAACATAAACTATGCTGTAAAGAGTTGCAGCTAAACGTTCATGATAGTTTTGTTTATTAGCGTGTTCACGACTTGAAAGGGTGATGCTATCGGTCAACATCATATTATACATGTGAAATGCTGCATCTTATCCCTTCAGAAAAGTCAGGTAAAAGAACGGGTGATAAAAAAACCTGGTCAATGCAGACTCGATTATTTACATACCACATCCATGCAGCTGGAATATTGCGGAGTGCGGCGTAAAACAACAATCAATCAAATCCCGTCAACTAAGTGGGACGCATACATGAATTGTACACACATTGTCTGCAATGTACGTGTAATTTAGTTAAATATACGTGAAAATAGACCTTCAAGGAAATTATTATTTTATCCGCAATATTTATTTCGCAAGAAATGATACTTTCCAATACCATGTTATATTTCAGTTACAGTTGTTGCTGTATATATGCACTTCGTCAAAGGTTTCGCACCACCCATTTGAAAGTCAAAGAAGAAATATAATTTTCGTTTGTTTACACTGCACGTACATATGTGATATACGACACCATCTGTGAACATAATATCACAAACACACCCTGTTTCGAGCTGCACGTGCATGCTTGCCTGAAGCATGAGTGTTCCGGGGGTCGGTTTGCAATAAATGCAGTATGCACATAGCCCCCGTTGGCGTATTTATGTTGACAGACACAGCTAAAATTTGATTGTAGGCATAAATTAAGCTTTAATTTGACCAACCAGTGAACTGCCCAAGCGTCCAGTGCCTCTGAACCAAAGATGGCAAATTATTGGTATGCACCAGACTGGTATGTCATGTCGTGCTATTGGCTCACAACTGAACATTCATTACAATGTCATCAGCAGGCAGATACGTAAGCATACTGCTACCGGTGAAGTGAAGGATGCACCAAGGTCTGGACGTCCCAGAAAAAACAATGACAGGGAAGATCGTACTCCATGCCAGACGTAGCCCAATGTCTACATGTACACTGCGACATGAATGGCATCCAAACATCAGAGTGTCCATCAGCACCATCAGACGACGCCTAAATTCTGCAGGATTAAGAGCAAGACGACCAATCAGACGTCCACTCATCACAATTCAGCACCGCCTTGCCCATTTGGCCTGATGCCAAGCGCGTGCTCGCTGGAACCCGAGGACATGGAGAAGGATCCACTGGTCCGATGAAAGCTGTATCATAAAGACGCGAGGGCACGAGTTTGGAGGAAGAGAGCCACAGTATATGATCAGAGGAACATTCAAGCTGAAGTTCCATTTGGGGGCGGATACATCATGGTGTGGGGGCGGATACATCATGTTGTGGGGATGGATCCGTCATGGTGTGGGGATGGATCCGTCATGGTGTGGGGGTGGATACATCATGTTGTGGGGGTGGATACATCATGTTGTGGGGTGGATACATCATGTTGTGGGGTGGATACATCATGTTGTGGGGTGGATCCGTCATGGTGTGGGGTGGATACATCATTGGGGGTGGATACATCATGGTGTGGGGGTGGATACATCATGGTGTGGGGGTGGATCCGTCATGGTGTGGGGGTGGATACATCATGTTGTGGGGGTGGATACATCATGTTGTGGGGTGGATACATCATGGTGTGGGGTGGATCCGTCATGGTGTGGGGGTGGATACATCATTGGGGGTGGATACATCATGGTGGTGTGGGGTGGATACATCATGGTGTGGGGGTGGATCCGTCATGGTGTGGGGGTGGATCCGTCATGGTGTGGGGGTGGATACATCATGTTGTGGGTGGATACATCATGGTGTGGGGGTGTTGTTCCTGAGACTGTAAACTTGACCTCATCACGGTTCCCGGGGCATTGAATGGACAGAATTACCAGAACTTGATCCTGGACGGTGCTGTAGTGCCTCATTTCAATACCCATGCCCACACCACACGTCCAGTCTTCATGGACGATAATGCCAGACCACATCGTGCTCGAGCTGTTGTTAAGCATCTCCAACACAACGCCATTGAGACACTACCATGGCCAGCCAGAACTCCGGACATAAATCATGTTGAGCATTTGTGAGATATTTTGGGAAGTTGGGTGAGAGCAAGGGATCCTCTACTTCAGAACCTTCAGGAATTGACCCATGTATTGCATGATGAGTGGCAGCAGACACCCCTACCCACCTACCCCCCCCCACCCCCACCCCATGTCTGGTGGCCAGCATGAGACAGCGTGTAGAAAATGTTATCTAAGTGCGAGGCGGTTACACCAGATACTGAGTTAAAAAGTCATTGAGGACATTACTAGTGTGTTCAACTTAAACGAAATGTGAAATGTGTTCTGTGTCTGTTGTAACGACATCGGCAGCCATACTTATTTCACAATATTTTACGGTGATTTTAGTTACCTTTAGTTTGCTACGATTAAATCTTCAATTAGTGGTAAAGTTCGGTCTTGTGTTGTCAATTGTCACACGAGGCAATCTAAACAATTTAATGAGCCTTTCTAAGCAATAATTACACTGCCAAATCAATCTTTGTATTAGGAAGGCATGCCACTTAAAATATGTAATTGTGTTCAATGGACGTTCATTTTGAAGGACAAAACAGAAGTGAGCAGACGGTGTTCTGATGCAATCATTCTGGTCGGGACATGTTTCGTTGCAAAGGGTAGGTGAAGGAAGAGCAGAGTGGCTCAGTGGAAGCGTGCTGGGCCCATAACCCAGAGGTCCGTGGATCGAAACCACGCTCTGCTAACTATAACTTTTTCTTTTCTTTCTGTTTTGCAAATAAACCCTGGTGTTGCTCTTTAGGATTCAGTATTAGAACTTAACCAATAGCAGTCATTTTACACATTGACATATCTATGTTTGTGTTAGAAAGACGTACCATG